AGAAAGATAACTGGGGATGCATAAATCTCGTAGAGTAGGATATTAGGAAGGTAAACCGTTTTATTAAGTGCAATGAGGTAGATAGGATTTTGGAACGGATAACGTAAAAGGTTAGTCCCCTGACTTCGTGAAATGTCACGGGACAATGATAGATTACGGGAAATGGTGACTCCGAGGTTTTTGACGGGGCACTCTCCGGAAAATTTTTCTCTATTGGTAATACTATGATGGCTGGAGTTCATTACCTCAATGTATTTGTCCTTGTTCAGCGAAGAAAGTAGGGCATCTTTGCACTTGGAAGAATTCATTCTAAGGTGATGACGTGAGGTTCAGTTAGGTAACAGTGACATGTTATGCATAGGTTTGAATTAAGTGAAATAATTCGAAAACTTCGTGCCCTACACAACATCATCACACCTAATGAAGGGAGTGTGAACAGCAATTCGAAGAAATCCTTTGTAAAAGTAATGAGTTACCCCTTTTTATATCTTGTATACTGTAAATATGAAATGAAATATTAATAATAGATCAATAAGTAGCGGCGGAATACCCTTATCAGAGAGAGAGAGAGTATGCAGAAGTTTTATCTTATCAACACAATTGAGGGTTTTACTATAGTCAAAGAAACAGCCGAACAGCTTTATATTTTCTGTCCAAGGAAGGGCAATTCTAATGAATGAAGGTCGCTAGTGCATCAACGGTTGACCTGGAGCTACGATAGGTAAAGTGAGTGGGATCAGATGCATTCAGCTGGGAGGACATCTTCGGTAAAATATTCTTTTCTCGAACTTTCAAACCAACGGACGTGTAAGACGAAATTTTAACGATCCAGTGAGGGTATTGGCGTGATGGAAACCACTCCTCTGCAGTCCGGAATACAATGCTGATTAAAGCACAGGTTGAGCAGGCTGGTACAGACAGGGGAAAGGGACACGGTAAATTCTTTGATCCTCACAGGTGGTAGTCTATAGGGACCGTAAGCTTTATTAAACTTCAGACTGCTGAAAGTTTTAAAAACTTGCGTTCGGTCTTCAATTAACCTAGCAACAATAAGAGAAGGAACGATTTCTGTGCATAGAACAGGACGTCGGTTTCAGCATTAATGAATGGGCGTTGTTTGGATCGTCCACGCTGGTAGCTGGTGGAGTCTCCTTCGATGCGGGACTACAGAATTGGATCGATAGTTTTCATGTATCGCGACAATTCCTGTTGTTCCAACAGTGTATCTACATAAGCGGTGTTCAAACCCCACAGTTCCGTTTTGATGGCTTTCGAGGGGTCTCTCACCAAATAATGCTTTTTGAAAGCTTTCTACCGACGTAATTGTTCAAGTGTAGGCAAGGAGAAATCAAGTTTCTCGCGGGAACTACGTATGATAAAAAAAACTTAAAATACTCAGTAAATTTATGATAAAGGACAGAGGGGCATTATGTACAATTAGCGAGAAATCTGCCTTATCTAATATACATCCTAGTTTACCGAGGTTTTCGAGGTGACACTGACGCAGAAGTTTGCGATTCCGAATGCACAATTGATGTTTGGATCTGCTGTAGATCACCGGAGGTAGTTTCCGTGTCACATGATCAGAGGTACCAATAGAATAACCACACACGTTAAATAGGTTCAGGTAGTTTATGAAACATCGAGGCAAACTTCGATTCAAGAACGAGACCTCAAACGGATTAGAGCCACCACACGATGCAAACGGAACAGTCTACACAATTTAGTGAAGCGGTGGAGAAAATATCTGTAAACTCAATAAAATGATCAATGAAACAAGAAAGAGGAACGTAAACGTCATTCAAAATAATGGTCAGGTAATTACTGACGTGTTTAGGTCTGCTAGTTTATAGAGAAGTACAGATAAAAGCGGTAGCATGCACAAAGCGTCGTTTGCCTGATTTGCACCAATCGTCATTTATGTATGTGTTAACACCTCTGCCTCGTTTGTAAACCGGAATCGGTTGATCAACTCGGCAGACGGGAGGAATGACAACTCGACAACATTGTCATCAATTTCGCTGTGGAGCCAGCTTTCCTGATGCATTATGTCACCAACTTTTGAATATTCAAT